TCATTAATGTCTTACACATTATAAGGTGCAGTTTATGTTGGCTGCATGCACAGAAATTACTTCTGACCCTTGATGAAAAGTTTGCTGACACTTTCAATCAATACCCACAGTTTTTGGTGTTGTTTCTTTAATAAGAAGTGTCTTGAGAGTTTATTGCAAGGAAGCATTGTTGAAAGTGTTTTATTTTCAGAGCTGATGTACCCTTGGTTGTACCAATGCCCATTTGCAGTAACAATGTTGTTAGGATCTGGAGCCACTTTACAATTTTATTTATGGTCTTGGTTTTTCAGTCACAATTAGAGTAACTTTTCCAAATGTTTTGGTTTGCAGGCGCCATCCAAATGGGTCCTTAACTTGGAAAGCTTTGATTGTGTTTACCTTCCCTTTACTGAACTACCTTAGCGGTCCATCTTATATTGGTCAGTGTTGTGGAAGCTATCCAGCACACTAAATGCTATTGAATACTCACAAAGCATGTGCCAAGGGAGAAAAAGAAAACAATTGTTTCCCAAAATATTCAGCTGCTGATGAAAAAAACTATTACCAGGCAGAGGTGTTCATTTCAAGAAGTAATTTCAAGCAAACTTTCTTCCTTTGTAAGATCTATCAATTGTATTGGAAAAGCACATGGTGCAGCAAGGCTTTGAAAGTATAAATAGTTTGTGGTATGTTGCAAGTCATCAAGATTTTAAAATAAGAAACACTTGTATCCTATTGTTTGTAGAAGTACATCCACACACACAACACTGCAACTGAGATAAAAGCAAAGTTGATGGTTTCAAAAATGCAGTATAAACAATGACAAAGTGTGTTGGTAAGTGCAGTGATCATAAACTTACTTATTTGAGGAACAAAATGAGCTTTCTTCACAGCCCTGTGTTTCAAAACAAAAGTATCTATATCCTCAAGATATGCCTAATTCCCCTAAAACAAGAAGTCAGCAAGGCTCAGATCTCCTCAGTTTCATACATCCAGAAAGAACGGATACATCTCACAGAACAGAATAAACAGAATAAAATGCAGCATTGCAAAAGCATTCTAACAACATCTTACAAAAATTGCAGAGTGCTTCCTGGTTTTCTATTAACAAGGTAAAAGGACAAGGCTATTTAAGATATTTTGTGGAATGTAAGAATGTTTTACATTAGTATTTGACACAAGGGGAGAAAAGAACAAGAGTAGCCAAACTGGCTACAGTCCCTCCAGATCTCATGGGTTCTTATGAGACAGCTCTCAGCCTACCTTTCCATAAGGAAAGCCATTGTTCTGTTGCCAATATTTGTTCATTTGAAATAACAGTAAATACAACAATAAAGAACATTATCCTCCTGCATGCATCCCTGAGGCTCAGTTTGCAATTAATAATTGGAATATTACATTTCACCTCACTTTATCTATTATTGCAATATGGTCCTACTCAGGAGACCAGAGTCCAGGAGAAACCTTAGCAAAAAGTAATCCTGGTGACAAGAAGACAAGACTGGTACAAACTCAAAGTAACTTTGGACTATGTCTAACCCAGTGAGGACATAGAAACTCTGAAACTCTTAGACCCTGGTGTACATCATAGCTTCCCAATAAAGACTCAGGTATGCATCAGCCCATCTCTCATCAACCCTTCTCTATCCTGGCACATAGTCAGGCAGTCAAGTAAGTTCTGTCTGGGTCCGCAGTTTGGGCAGAGAGGGACAGATTACAACACTCACACTCACTTTAGATATAACCATGAGGTCCAAGGGACCAGACTCTAAACAAATTGGAGCATTTCAACTACCTGCTGACAATTCTGCCTGCCAGAAATCTCCCTAATAGCTGTTATGTAGTAGGAAGACTATGCGTATCACTCCTTGCAAACCTGCAGTCACATAAGAGTGTTAAACAATCAGAAATCTCTAGGAGATATTATTTGTGTGAAAACTCTGTGATTTATTGCTATTGGACTATTGCAAAGCTTCCAACATATGAAAATCACACATTCACCTGGACTACAGACATGGGTAGTTCTTGTGGGTATTGCTGCCCAAGTGAAATGCAAAAATATTATTCCTAAATAAATGGGGAAACAGGTCTGTAAACTACTAAAAGTCTTTTCTGAAAGTAGTACTTGATCCGTTCCTCGAGCTAGTGAGGACATAAAGTTAAAACAGGCCAGAGATCTGTTTATATGGATGAAAATCTTAAAGACAGATGTTGATATCCTCCCTCCCTGCCATGCCATCACCCAGTTTGTTGCTTAAAGCTCAGGCAAGGAAAAAACCTCCGATCCATGTGTCACCTTTCAGAAAATGGTAGAGTGGCTTTCGCTAGAGGGAACTATAATTTTATTGTCTCTGCCAAGGTTCATCTTATGTCAGATTTACGACTGCAGTAGACTGTTCCCCTGATATTGTCACCACCTAGAAAGAAGAGTATACCTCTGACAGTATTGTGATCAGGGATGTGCATTCCCTCTCCATGATCATCCCATCGTTTTGATAAAACTCAGATCCACAGTGAAACACACCCTGTTCCCATGACCTCTGTTTGTTTATGAAAATTTCAGCCTTTCTCTGTTATTCTTCAAGCCACAAATAAAAATAAAATCCGCATATGATGTGTAGAAAAGAATGGCTATTCTCAGTCGCCACACAGTGGCACAGCAGGTGAAAAAAAAGACATAGATTTTCTTGGTTTTTCTACACAGCTTGGGTTTGTTGTTCCTTGTAATTATGCAGATACTATCCATGGATGTTTGAGAAAGGTACATGTGGAGAGGGGTTATATAGTCTGTGAGCTACAAGCAAAATGACTACAAGAGTTAGGAATGATCAAGCGGTGTGGTATTTGTTGCCGTAATAGCACTGGGCTTTTATTGTTGTTTAAAGAGGTAAGTACAGAAATAGTAGAAATAAACCTGCTTCACTCAAAGTTCAGCCTTGTGGGAAGATGTAGAAAGTATATGTGCATCAGTGTGTGCGTGTGTTATTTTGTTCCTATGGGTGTCTGCCTGTCCCTTACTTGTTTTAGGGAAGGATTTCCAATGTATTCTAGTCTAGTATTTTTATGGGTGAGCCCTTTCCGTAAGAAGAGCACAGGCAGCGGAAAAACTAACGTGAGCTCACTACCTACAGTCCTCTACTAACAAGGCTAGCTGCACCTACCAAAATGTTCAAGTTCATTTCAGTCTGAAAGCTTGATGTCTTCAAAACCATTACCTTTTTGGTAGCAGAGGCAGGAGGTGGGCATTCCACCAGATTTGACTTTTCTGCTCATGGTTCATAAAGATGCAGACTACTCTAAGGTACAGAAATGAGTAATGCACACTTTGAATTGGTGAAGGAAGGAACAGAGGGACTTGTAACATCACTCAGATAACAGCGAAGTCAAATACATTTGCATGAGTCTATGGCATTTAATTTTTTAAGTTTGCCAAAGTGCCCTTGGCTAGATTTTTCTTCCCTTTTGTGATGCAGACAACCCCTCACTGAATGAAAAGTATATTCTGCAGTGATTTATATCCATATTTTAAATGGCTTTAACATCATTTGGGTTAGGTATCATCTGAAGATATTGTAACAGTCACAATCACTCTTACTTTATATTTGGACAAACTAAAGTTTGGTAGCATTTCCAGTTTACTTCCACACTAATATTTAGAACTCTCTTTATGTACAGAAAAAAAGAATATTATATGTCCTATCTTGCAAATTATGTTTATACATTTGTTAAAGTGAACTTGAAAGTAAATTGTAATGTTGATCTGTTTATTAGAATAGTATATATCACCTGACAGTGTAAGGGGGCTTCAAATGAGGGTCTTAAAAAGTAAAATATGAGAATCATTTGACTTTATGTGTCCCACACTATAAAATACCATACACAATAAAATTCATGGAGCAAACTCAGTCCTTTAGGGTTTTCAATTAGCAGCTTCTAATCTACAAATCATTTAAGAGGAAAAAAAAAACCAAAAAACAAAAAAAACCAAATTTAGTCAACAAGGCAAAACTTTTCCTGAAAGAATTTCAGGTATGAACAGCTCAGCCATCTCCCACAGCCATTTCACCTTGAGCTGTCCCTATAGCACCTTATTCAGTAAAGGGTGAGAGAATAGAAAAAAAAAAAAAAAAAAACAAACTCAACTCTTGGGATTTTACAGAAATTTTCTGAAAGACTTAAACAAAATAGGGTCTATTTCACTTTGCAGCTGCCTCTAACTTTACCATAATAAACTCTAAGCGGGTAGCCTTCACCAAAACACTTAAAAACAGCTTGAAAGAGGTATTTGCTGCCCGTTATGTTTACTCAAGCACTTGTTTAAAAACACACTTAAGGAAAATGTTTTTATTTCTACAGATTGCATTAATTGTAGCTTTGCAAACACTGCAAGCTCTACAAGACTGAACTGAGCTATTAGCTGCAAACCTCAGGTCTTGGCTAGAATAGTGGTTATGGCTTATTTAGTAAGCCTAATGAATTGGCTCACCCATCTCTACGCGGAGTTCCATGTATAGCACCATGGAGCCTGGAACAGCCAGAAAGGCTTGTTTCATGTTGCTTTATAATTAAAATGAAGTAAAATCGGTCAGCCCGAGTCGGTCCAAAAGCGAACCTCACTGCAGCATTATTCCTCTTCGGGCAAATAAAAGCATTAACACGGACATTAAGGCCGGACCGAAGCTCTGCGGGGACCCGCAGTAAAACCTGCTCTTCGCAGCCGCGGGCCGCGCTCTCCCCGGAGGCGCCCGGCGGGGCGGCGGTGCCGGCTGCTCCCCGGGCGAGCCGCGGTGGAGCTCCCGCCCGGCCGGGGCTCCAGCCTGGCCGGGGCTCCAGCCTGGCCGGGGCTCCAGCCTGGCCAAGACTCGCTCCCGCCTGGCCAGGGCTCGCTCCCGCCTGGCCGGGGCAGGGCGCAGCGCTCGGCCCGGCAGCCGCGGGCGCCTCTCGCCGCCCCGGAGCCGCATCGCCCGCTCAGGTGCTCCCGGGACCGGCCCCGAAGGCGCCCGGCGGCGAGGTGGCCTTACCGTGAGGGCGGAGAGCTTCTGTGCCGGCACGGCGGGGAGCAGCTCCGGCAGCAGCAGCAGCAGCGGCACCCACATCCTGAGGCGGCGGCGGCGGGCACGCAGCGGCTGCGGGTGGCTGAGGATGGGGACTCTTGGGATGTCGCTCCCCCCCCGACGCCTGCTTTGGCTCCTTTTCAATCGCTCCGGCTGGGAGGTCCCAGATCAGGTCCTCACTTTTCTTTTTCCCCACCCCAGTCCTTAAAATTTAGGGAAGCCTGTAAAGCTGAGAGGCGGCACTTTCTCCCTCTCTCTGTGTCCCTCCCTCGCTCCTCGGGAGTCAGCTCCGGCTAGGAGATGCTCCCCCAGCCTCTCCTCTCCCGGAGCCCTCCCACTGCCGGGGGAATCTGCCGGACGCCGCCGCCTCCCCCGGGGCGCCGCGCCTGCCTCCGCCTCGGGCGGGCTGCTGTCTAGCCCTGGGGGTCCCTTTCTCTCCCTTCCAGCCCTGAGCCCTCTGTGGCAGGGAAAGCGGGAGGAAACGACCGGGACGGGAAGGGAGGACCCACCACCAGCTCCGGGAGCACGCGGGAAGGCACTGCCGCGGCTGCGGAGGCTGGCGGTGTGCGACCTCTCCGAGCCGCTCTGCCCCTTTTCCTCTTATCCTTCCCCCTCCCCAGCCCGGCCTCCCCTTTCTCCTCCCAGACCCACAGATCCTCGCCGATTAACCCTCCCCGGTGCTCCCGGGGGGTCGCCGCTCGCTTCCCCCGCAGGGTTTATTCCTCCCCCACGCCCCCGCCACATGCTGAATCAACACGTACAGACACCGGCAGCCCCTGGCAGGCGGGGGAGGTGGTCCCGACCCCCGCCCCGGTGAGCCCCGACCTCCTACCGGAGCGCCCCTGCCCTGGCCCCGCCGCGCCTCCCGCGGGCACCGCACGGGGCGGGAGCCAGGACCGTGGCATCCAGGTTTCTGAGCTGGGACAAAAGCCAAGGTGGCAGCTCCCGTGGGGCAGCCGGGCGTCGCTGGGGGTGCCCGGCGCTCCAGCACGGCGGGGAGCGGGCACTGCTGGCCCCGGGCGGGATAGCCCCTTGAGATGAGGAGGCTGCAGGGCCGCCGCTACGCGCGCAGTTAATGCCAGGTGAAACCTTCCACCCCAGAGCTGAGCTTTTCTTTCTCGTCTCTTAGGAGCCAAATAGAGGTCTGTTTATATTTCCTAACTGTGAAGGATCTCCTCGTCCCTGCTGCCTGAAAGAAACCCTTTCACTACAGTTTTGTCACTGGAGTTCCCCGCTCCTCCCGGGGACCCAACAGCTCACTGCCAGCTTGCAGAGATCCCCACAGATAAGTGGTACTACAAGAGACGCTGAAACTGTCAGGGCTTGCTTGACTCTCCGTGTGTGCGTGTTTGTGGGACAGGACACAAAAGGGCTTTAGGAAGGCTGCAAAGTGGCACACTCCCAACACACAAATGACAGACAATTTCTTCCAGCACGAAATCTGACATCCTTGCAGGCTTTGTCACAAGTGGCTCAGTGAGGGGCTCAGGGTAGAGCATGCTCTCTAAAGCAGTAGCTACATGCATGGTGAACTAAGGTGGAGAGAAGTAGGTATTAGTTACAGAGAAATTTGGGTGCCTTACCTGAGACACCTACACTGCTTACTTTTCCAGATCTTACAATGTTCAGTGGATGCAGCCAGCAAGGTAGTTGCAGCATTGCCAGGTCTCAATGAGCACCCACAGTCACAAAAATTTAAAAAGCACCCTTTTCAAAAACTTTTGTTTTATATTAGTGCAATACAACATTATATGATGCAAATTTTAACAAAGCATTTGCACACATCTGTGTGGAATATCTCTTGTTTAAATATTATCTCCTTTTTCAATGGGGAAAAAACCCCAAAGATACCATATTCTATCACCCAGGTTGGAGCATGTTCGAGGCCCTTCACTGCACCAGATTCTATTGTCAAAATAGCAGCATCTCTCATAGCGATAGCAAGTTGCCAGTTGCTGCATTATGCACTGTAGTACAATTTTCCAGCCTGGGCTTCATAGCCCTTTTCCTCTCAGCTGGGTGAAACTTGGCAATGTTGATGTGTCTGTCAGAGACAAAAGGATTTTTTTCTCTTGTGACCATGACTAGCCCCCTTCATACCACGAAATTATTCACATGTACAAAGTCCTGTTTTCCTCCATCTTTCTAGTCCTCTTCCATGTTCTCCAGTCCAGCACCGTTTGTTTCCCAGTTGAGGTCTGTGTCCTCTTCATCACAAGCCCATGCCTGCTCTCCCTTCTCTTTCACCTTGCTCTTTGTATATTGCAAACTCCACAGCTCCTTCACCTTCAGTTCAGTGCTGTGTGCACTGCTGGCATGTAACTGGGCAAAGGCAATTCATGGCCAACAATCCCTTTGCTCTTGGCTTGTCTGTCAGGACATACTGAATGACACAGCACACAGTTTGGATTTGACATTGCAGAAGAATTACATTCTCAGAATTGATGAGAAATACATCTAATAAAAAAAAAACTGCAGGTTTTTGAGGGTTTATAACTTAGTCAAATGTGAGTGGATTTACACAAATTTGACAATAGCCAAAAGGCCAAAATTCTGCAAAAAGGCCAAAATTCTGCAAAAAGGCATGTTTGGAGTCTAGAAACTGTTGACATTATGATTTTAAAATAAAGATGATTTGCCAAAATATTTTAAACTGACCTTTTAGGGAGGGGACAGAATATAGAGGTCAAATTAAAACTGTGGAGGCACAGACCAATGTGTGTGGCTGGCTGTCCTTGGGAAAACAGACAGCTTTGAAAAGCATCATCCTTCAGTTAGACTTTTTAGTTTCAGCATGTTGCATTTTTCATTATTAGAGCTTACTATGAGCTTTATCACACTTTAGTGAGTAGTCAGTATGAGGAAGAGGACCTAAACCTCTTCAGGGCAACAACAATGGCAAAAAAATCCCACTCCCATCTTGACATGAGAGCAGTGCTAGTAGCATTCCCATCTGCTCGTGACAGAGTTCTTCTATGCTCTCCCCATCACCCAATGCCAGCACACTCTTTGGACCTCTCAGAAGATTGCTTATTGCAGTGCAGAGAGAGGCATTGCTGCTGATTCACTCACCTTGCATTAAATCAGGGGTTTAGTGAGGAACCACAGGTGCTCCTCTTTCACTCAGGTGAGGAAGACTTTCACTCAGGTGGAGCCTGGGATGGCATGGCTGGCATGAGAACCAAATCCTGAAAAACCATCTGGTGGCTGAGTTAAAGGAGCACCAGTGTTGGCAAGAACAATGTGAACACCAACAGAGGCAAGAAGGAAAAAGAGAGAAAAAAGACAGCCTTTGGAAATGTTGCTCACAAACCTGGTGTCTGGAAACAACCATGCATGATTCTTGGAGCCTTGGACATAAACTATGCTGTGGAGAATGTCAGCAGGAGAATTTCTGTCTGGGGAGGATAAATGCATCCCTAATTCTTGCATCTAGGTTTGCACCAACCATTAAAATCACACAGGAAAAGAACTATTGCATGAAGTGAAATAGTGGCTGTGGAATGCTTTTCTGAGAGCCAGGGGAGTAGCTGATGTAGGTAACATAGGATGCAGCAGAAAATAAGAGCACAGAATAACACCAGAGGATCTAGGACATCAAAATTCTTGGGCACAGAAGTAGTATGTGTTTATCTATTATTATTATTATTATTATTATTATTATTATTATTATTATTATTATTTACTGTATGGCTCATCATCTTTTGGAGGAAATACTTTTTATTTTCAAATAAAAGAAGGAACAAACAGTTTAAATGTGAAAATATAGGAAATCTTACTGGGAAGGTCCTGACCAGATCTCAGAGATGTACCACTTCAGCATCCATATGCACTGCTTCTCAGAGAATAGGAAGAGATTCCATTCTTCCAATCCTAAGAGGTTAAATGGAAATGCTTTCACAGGAAAAGTGTGGTATTTTACCAGTGGAAATTTCATGCAGTCCTATATGTGGAATAAGAAGCTAGGTTTAGTATATATTTTTTATTTCCAATCCCTAGAACTGACATTTGTACTGTGTACCAGCTTGCTATTTCAGATTTGTAAACCTGTTGTAACGCAAACTCCTTTACACTGTCACTCCTCTTCTTCAGCCCTGTGTAAGGAGAGCTCTGCAGTCCCAAGCCAGCTGTCTGTGGGCACGAGGTGTTAGCAAAGCCTTCACCACACCCAGCAATCCTGGCCCAAATGGCAAGGTGAAATGGGCCCAGTGCCAGAGCCACCCATCACCACTGGCAGAGATCAGTCTAGGACAGGATGGAAGCAAAGCTGCCTGAGCATGCAGGGCAGCCATCCTTGTCCCTTCCCACATAGTTCCTGTCTTCTACATAAACAGAGGGCTTTCCTCTTCAGGGCACCTTGCACAGAGATTAAAGCCTTTTAAGATATTAGGAGGTAGAAAACAAACAGGCATAAGCTAGTCATTCCTTAGCCCTTCTGCCCTTCACTCCTGTCCCCTCCTTATAATGGCACACAGCAAAGTGTATTTGCTCCTTTCTGCCCTCCATGACTGTCCAAGGAAAGTCAGAACAAATCTTCTGTGCTAGATGAGAAAACATAATTCATGACTACAAACAGCAGCCTCATCTGCAGGGGTGAAATACTGGAAATATAAGCAAGAGCAGGGATAAAACCCTGAAATTGGGTGAGAGCAGGAATATCCACCCAGCAGGCCTTGCAGAGGGTGCAGATCTGCAGTAGATTCCTGCAGCCAGCTTTTGAGTGATCCTGAGGACAAATGCAGAGAGGCAGACATTTCTGGTGGGAAAGTGGGATTTTCAGCATGCAGTGGTCTGTGCAAAAATTGCTACATATGACCTAGCAAAATCTTGCTTTGCAATAGGTAGCAATGGCTTTTAATCTACCAAGAGGCATGTTTTCTTATCAAGTTTTCTTCAGAAAAAGTAAAACATTCACCAATAATGCAAAAAGCTCCTTTAAATCTTAAAGAAAAAAAAAAGAAAAAAAACCACATTTGGTGGGAAATGCCCATTTTTCTTCATGTTTTAGATTTTCATTAACTGTCTTTTGCCCAGCTGGTGAG